AGGTTGTAGCTAATAAACATAACTGGACTGAATTGGCATTGTCTCTTGGAGTTCCTTGGGCTAGGCCTGACATCAATCTTCCCTTCCTCCCACGCGGTTCTGGTGAGCTAAGAAAATGTTTATCTCCCTGAGCTTGGCCTTCATAATTCCATTCCATCACACAGATACAGATATTCAGCTTTAGGATGCCACAGGATTCTGTTTCCTGCTGGCAAATTTTGGTGGCCAACCTCTCCACTAAAATTCGCCAGCTCTGCTCTGAATTCCTTCCATCAGATGAAGTGGGCTCAGCTGGAGTGCACTTTTAGGGTGCACCATTCGGTGCCCTTTCTCTGCTCTGCAAATTGTTCCGGATGAGCAATCCCCCATGGTGAGGATTTAAAACCAGCCCACCCACCCACCAACCCCAACCCCAAACCCTGTGCTTTGCACCCAGGCCCTGCATCCAGGGAGCCGGGTTCAACTGATTCCCTTAGTTACGTTGCCTACGGCTGCGCTTCTCTTTCCCCCTGGAACGGGCGAGATGAAGCGCTGCTGTGGCGTGACGAGAAGCAGACCCACCCTGTGTTTCGGCTTCCTTGGGACAGGGTGAGGGTTAGCCACGGCCGTGGGCAATGCTGAGTTGTGCCCGGATTCATCCATCCGTTTTCCGGCCCTGTCATTTCCCTGCGGTTTTGGAACCCCAAGGAGATACGGGCAAACCAAGGACTTTGTCTTCCTTGACTAGGGTTGACTCTTAAGGATGTCCAAAGGCAGGGTGAAGCTGATCATAACCGGAGATGACTTCGGCTACTGCCCAAGGAGGAACCAAGGCATTGTGGAGTGTTTTCTAACTGGTGCCATCTCTAACGTCTCGCTTCTGGTCAACGGGAGTGCCGTGTCCGACGCCGTCCAGCTGGCAAAGAAGTGAGTCTCCTTGTTTTAGCTTTCTCTGCTTTCATCCAGTCAGGCAAACCGAACAGATTTGTAGGCCCTAAAAAAGGAATGGATATATTATAGCCTACGCTGGCTTCGCCCTCCAGATGTGTTGGACTTCAGCTCCCAGAATTCTCAGTGATGGCCCTGTGGGCTGGGGGATTCTGGGAGTTGTGAGAAGTAGCTGGCACCCAGATTGCAGAAGGTGGCTCTAAATTCATTCTGAGACTGGCTGGGGAATTCTGGGAGTTGAAGTTCACATATCTTAAAGTTGCCAAGGTTGAAAAACACTGATCTAACATAACCTGGTCTGCTTCTTTTCCCAGCTTCTCAGCAAATCTAAGAGGATTTCTATTGTTGTTTTTACTCCTACAAGCTTTTAGATTCCTCCAGAATCATCTGAGATTTCCCTCCTTCCCTTGTTATTAATTTCTTGCACAGATACCTTGTGATTCCTTTGAGAGCTCTTGAGAGTGGTGTATTATCATCATCATCATCATCATCATCATCATCATTTTTTGCACTGTCAGCCAGATGTTTAGACTGGATTTGGCCTTTTTGTCCACCTAATCGAGTCCTTCCCAAGGATCTGGGATAGGCAGATGTTATAGTTTGATGGTATTAAAGGTATCATCGCAGGATGGAAGCTGTTCCAAGCAAAGCTGCCTTTTGCAATGGACTGATGGTGATTTTGTCAATGCCGAGGGTCTTCCAGTGGTGCTCCAGATGTTTTGGGATTTCACCCAAGGCGCCTATTACTATTGGAACTATCTTTGCTTTCTTTTGCCACAGTCGTTCTACTTCTATTCGCAGGTCTTTGTGTCTTGTGATTTTCTCCAGTTCTTTCTCTCCTCTTCTGCTGTCTCCAGGCATTGCAATGTCCACTATCCACAATGCCCACTATTTTGGTCTTTCCTATTAACAATGGTTAAGCCTGGGGTGTTGTGTGGCAGGTGCTTGTCTGTTTGAATTCTAAAGTCCCAGAACACTTTAGCTTCATTTTCTATTACTTTGTCTATTTGGTGGTCCCACCAGTTCTTGCTTGCTGGCAAGTGCTATTTCCTGCAGATATTCCAATGCACCATTGTGGCTACTTTATCATGTTATTATTCGTTTATCCAATCTTTTAATATATGTATATATCTCTAAAACTCTCTCTCTCTCTCTCTCTCTCTCTCTCTCTCTCTCTCTCTCAA